TACCAGCGATGGCCTCCAACCAACTAGCGATGGCCTCCAACAACCTATTCGCGGTGGCCTCCAACCTACTAGCGATGGCTTCCAACCTACTAGCGGTTCCACCCTGGTAGCGGTGGCCTGCAACCTACCAGCGATGGCCTCCAACCTATTACCGATGGCCTCCAACCTACTAGCGGTGGCCTCCACCCTACTAGCGGTGGCCTCCAACCTACCAGCGATGGACTCCAACCTGCCGGCGATGGACTCCAACCTACTAGCGATGGCCTCCAACCTACTAGCGGTGGCCTCCAACCTACCAGCGATGGCCTCCAACCTACTAGCGACGGCCTCCAACCCACTAGCGGTCACTAGCGGTGGCCTCCAACCTACTAGCGATGGCCTCCCACCTACTAGCGACGGCTTCCAACTTACTAGCGATGGCCTCCAACCTACTAGCGGTGGCCTCCAACCTACTAGCGGTGGCCTCCAACCTACTAGCGATGGCCTCCAACCTACTAGCGATGGCCTCCAACCTACTAGCGATGGCCTCCAACCTATTACCGATGGCCTCCAACCTACCAGCGATGGCCTCCAACCATCTAGCGATGGCCTCCAACCTACTCCAGCGATGGCCTCCAACCTACCAGCGATGGCCGATGGCCTCCAACCAACTAGCGGTGGCCTCCAACCTACTAGCGATGGCCGATGGCCTCCAACCTACTAGCGATGGCCTCCAACCTGCTAGCGATGGCCTTTATCCTGCTAGCGATGGCCTCCAACCTACTTCCAACCTACTAGCGATGGCCTCCAACCTCCAACCTACTAACGATTGTCTCCAACCTAATTGAAACATATTGACATTGGTTTTCATGGGTTTTCGATGATTTTCGAGATGATTGATTTTCGATCACAAGGTGAACTTGAGCGGAGTGTGCCGGAATTTCACATATAGATCTTGTAACTGAATGGCCATGGAAGGTGTTTTGGGAAAGAGATTGCAAGAGGGCAACCCTAGGGTAGGTCGTTGCGAGTCACGAGCAACGGTAGGGCAGGTAAGGCAGGTAGGCTTAATACGCCGCGCCGGCAGGCTGTCAAGACACAGAAAGTGGAAGCTTGGATCTGAGAAGCCCACACCTGGCAAGATTATCATCGAACCTGAACTTTGGAATACTACTTTCCTTTACAACCCAGTGGTTTTCAAGTTCCATGTTGATCTTCCAGAGCGTAGTTCTCCGTTCAAAAATGTGTACAAGTAACGGAGGCGTAACCACAACATGAGAACTGACTGGGCGGCTGGGACTGTTTGAGGAACGACCTAGAACGACCATTCTGCCAATCTCAAGTTAAGTTTCCCTAGGAAACAAGTCATTAGAAACGTGAGCTATCCTGCATCCATATGTAGTAGCTTAAGTAGCTACAAGCTTGCTCCATTAATTAAGTAGGGCCCTACTTAGTTAAGTAGGAGCGGGCTTTGTAAAAGGGCCATGTGTGCAAGCTGTCAAGCTCAAACCGGGCAGACGGGGGGCTTCGGGGCTTCATGGTTTGCGCCTCCCGCTGATCCCCACGTGGGAACCATGCACACCTCGAGATTGCTGGTGGCAGCAGCCTGTGGCTCGGGTTTTGCAGCTTTGAATGCCGGCCACAAACGCCAAGTTCCATTACCTAAAGCCCGGGAAGCTCCACAGTCTTTGCAGTGCCACGAAGAGCCAACACAGGTGTCTAGCTTTCGGAGGCTCGACCGTTTATGGCAAACCATTGCAGAAAGGCAGGCCAATCCAGACACCAGTCTTTCTTGGACCTCCCGACTGTTGGCCAAGGGCCCTGATAAGTGTGCCCAGAAAGTGGGGGAAGAAGGTGTAGAGGTTTGCATCGAAGCTGCGGCCAGGAGGACTGAAGGAGTGGTGAAGGAATCGGCCGATTTGCTGTTTCACCTCTTGGTTCTTTGGGCATCCATGGGCATCAGCCCCAAAGAAGTGCTGGATGAGTTGGCGCGAAGGGAAGGAACCAGTGGAGTGGAAGAGAAGGCATCACGGCCCAAATGAGTTCAGAATGAGCCTATGCTCTTTACCGAAGAGGTCTGAAGGATGACGTGCTCAGCATTTGAAGGGTGGCTCGGGGCACCGGAGGTAGATCCGAAGCCACCACGAGTGTGCGCCTAAGGCTAAGACGGACACCTGCAAGACAAAAAAGAGGGATGGTGAAGGTGTGCTGCCCGCGTCGGATTTTTCTTTGGTGCATAGAGCGCGGACATGAACAGCAAAAATGATAGAGTGGACCGTAGGCCACAGACATCCACAGACCATGAAAAGCCCGCTTTGTGACGCTGTCGGCGACGTATTTCCAAAAGCCAAGGCGCGCAGTCACCAGCGACGTTGCACCTCAACTCAGTTCCGCCTTTGCCATTGCGCTGCGAAGTGGATGAGGGTGCCTTGAATTAAGACGTTTTCTCTTTGCGTGCTGAAGTGCAGCTTGTTCCAAGACTTCTGGACCTTATATAGTATAGAGTATAGAGCGCTGATTGAATCAGATAACACTCACCCTTGTTTGGCATGCTGGTTTCGGCAGCTGGGGTAAATGATGGAGGAGAAGGGATTTCACGTGGAATGTGCACATGTATAATCACACACACTCATGGATATGCGTACGGACTTGATAGCGGTGCCACACGCCGGCCTAGGGTTCCATTTCCTAAGAGTACAGGTAGGGAAACCTAAAGAAGAAGAGGAGGTCCATCCAGCGGAGGTCCCAAAAGTTTCAGGAAAGACCGAACGAGCGGGCGACCAGATGACGACGTACGTGCAGAAAAGCCAAGTTCGTCACCGCTGCATTAGCCCTTTACTGAAGAAAACAACGAAGTAGACAGCTTGTGCTTTACGTAGGTTTCTCTCCAAGCAGGTACGGCAATCCGGCGTCCCGGATTGATTTCACAGATGCAACACTGGCGTCTTCGTTGGTGCCAGTCCAGTGTGCATCCCTGGCACCCCCTGCTGTAAGAAAAATGCAAATGCAAAAGCATCCCTATGACTCCAAGGGTGACACACACACGCCTCCCCGAGGGGAGGCGAGAAGCTAAGGTGAGGGCCAATGTGCACGTGTGCGCGCTCAAGAGACAAGAAAATGAAGACATGACAAGAGGACGAGACGGGACAAAGGTGCGTGCGGTTGAAATGAAAGGGGAACCAAGTGCACAGGGACAACCGATGAAGCCCACCTCATTGTAGAGACCTGGGCGACCTGAAACCTGTGTTTAAATGTGTGTAGAAGTGCACGTACACACTAAGGCCGGGACCAATGTGCGCGCAAACGAAGAAAAGGATGAGATGACCAGACATGAAGACAGGAGGACATGAAAGAAAAGAGGAAACAAGAGTGTGTGAAGGGAAGGGATGAAAGGGGGAACCAAATGGAGGGGACGAGAACCGATGAAGCCGAGCCTCATTAAAACGACCTAGGAAAACCTACCTCGTTTGAATGTATACGCTGTATGTGCACCCAAGGTCTCGACAGGTTCCAATGAACCTAAAACTGGCTTTGACCGCTCTGGTCACTTTGTGCCTTGCCGAAATGGCTGGCTGCTTTGACCGCTGCGGTCACGTAAAGGCATGAGCCAACTTGGAATTCCAAAGATGGGACAAAAA